TTGGTCCCGGCCCAGTAACTCACCAAAATGGCAATGGCCGGGAACGCTTTCCGGAAATTTTTAGTTGTGAATAGATCGAACAGCATTTTCCAGAATTTCGGGAAAAGAGGACAACTTTCCAAAGTTAACCGAAATTTCGAAAATTTCTTATTCGGAATTGGTCAGTCTCATTTGATTTTCCTGCTGGAATTTCCAGATTTTTCCTGTTAAGGAGGCTGCTGGCTTTCCAGCACTTTTCCAACAACTATACTTTCATCTCCCGTTCTCAGCCAAGGGCGGGAGATGACTGACATTTCAGGCTATTTGACAGGTGAACACTACAGTGGAACGCGCCTCGCGATCACCTCGTTAATATGGTCACCTCGTGATTACGGCTAGTCTTTTTTTATCCCAGCGAAACGCCCTTACATTTTCTTATTAGAAAACCCCGTTAATCCGGCCACCCCGTTAATACGGCCAACGGCCACATTCTGAAATCTCAACCTGTATTATCCTCTACAATTTTACTCCGTTAATAAGGCCACTCGAACCAGTTACGTTAATCTTTCCATTGTAATATGGCATAACGGAACTTGCGCCCTCTATAGCGAAGCTCATCAATCTGTCCCTCTCATCAGGATCGTTTCCGTGCAGTTGGAAAAGAGCCAGCGTGACTGCCCTTTATACCATACTTGTAATGTGGATGATGTCAACAACTATAGGCCATTTCAGTAATTCCGGCGCCGTATAAAATCATTGAACGCGACGTGCATGATCATTTGTTCGAATATCTCGATGTTCATGGCCTTATTTATAAGAACCAGTCTGGATTCAGAAAGCGGTACAGCACAGAAACGGCGCTTGCATATGTAGTTGACAGTCTGCTATTTAATCTAGATAGAAACCGTGTCAGTGGTATGGTTCTTGTAGATTACAAAAAGGCTTTTGATATGGTTGATCATGTGATTCTGCTCAGAAACTAGATAAGAGTGCTTTAATCTGGTTCGAGTCATACTTCTCCGAACGTACTCAACTGGTTTCATTTAAAGGACAGATATCGACTTTTAGGACTGATTATAGTGGGTGTGCCCCAGGGTTCCATGTCGGGTCCCCCAGTTTTTGTGATGTTCATCAATGATCTACCCCTACATTTCCACACGCAGATCGACATGCTTGCCGACTACACTACCCTACTAGCGTCTTCTGGTTATGCTAAAGAACACTCTCAGCCGAGAGGTCTCCAACGTCGATGAATGGTCAACAATCTATCTGTTAATTGCTCCGAGATGAAGACAATACTAATCGATGGATCACGCCTATGGAGAAGTTCAAAGAAAGAAGATCGCATTCTTGAGGTTCAGCTTAAAGGCAGTGAATTAGAACGGGTTGAAAACATTGAGCTGATGGGCCTTTTACCTGACCAACAACTCATTTTCGATGTCTATATCGATTCTTTATGTATCGATATCAAAGCGTATAGGCATACTAAAAGAATTATAAGGCTTATTTACCAACAGCAGAACACGTACTTTATTGTAATGCTTTAATTAAGTCACTGATAAACTCTTGGTCTTCGGCCATCGTAGCTTAGCTTGATTAAAAATATAACACAAATAGCGGTGATAAATATTATATTGCAGCGTAACATGGACAAGCTGCTGCAGCCAAGACAATATAAATAAGATATTTAAGCTACAAAAGCGGTGTGCTCGTATTATCCTTGATGCCCAGCAACGCCATAGCATTATAGATCTATTTAGCACTTGACGATGGGTGCCAAATTATACAGAATCCGATATAAAGGTGCCTAATTGCATACAAAAGGATCATGGGTACCAGCCCTGAGTACATAAATGAACTGTTAATGTTTTTAAGAATTTGCTTTATAAACAAACATTTTAGATTAAGTCAACTTAAGGACAGGGTTTTTTTATTCCATATTTTATTGTCTACATTTAATTGCTACTGTTGGACATCTATTACTATGGAATTCACATACTTGAGCCGAGTATTACGTCCACTGAACATAAAGGGTCAAGCCACCGTACACGACCGTTCTCATGTGGTTTTAATAGTTTAGTTGGGAGAGCATTGCATCGGTAGCGCAAAGGTCGTAGGTTCTAATAACGTTCAAAGCCTGAAAATTTTGTCAGGTCTTTCTTTCCAGTAGTGTTATGGCTGCATTCGTATCTATCGTCATGTCTACATTTAATTGCTACTCTTGGACATCTATTACTACTTAAGACAATTATTTTTAGACTGAGTACAGTACGTTAACGTCGAGTAATTACCTCTTAACTTAGTTTTTAAATCATGTTCTTATATTGGTTTAATTTTAGATGTTTAATTTAAGATATTTGTAATAAATCTTTTATACTTCTTAATCGAGGGCCACAGGTTTATTAGTTGAATTAACTATCAAATGTAAACCCTCTCTAAATAAAGTTTGATTGAGTGATTGATATCTAATGATTGAAGTTTCAACTATTTTTACATTTCTACCTGCATTTCGAATGCCTATTGAAAAACAGCTGTTCAGAAGTGCAATTGTGTTTGTCAAGGAGTCACTAAAAATATACCAGTCATGAAATTTGACCCCACCCCGTTAATACGGCTACTCGAAACAATTATGTTCATCTTTCCATGTTTAATATTGTATGTACCGATTGAAGTTTCATGTTTTTTTTTTTTTGACATTTATACGTGCATTTCGAATGCCTCGTCCCCAGTTGTCTTCTTACAACTTCATACAGCGCGCGGAACGGGGCGAGGTGGGAGCGCAGGGTGAGATGGGTAGGGAGAAAGATAGAGAGGGACCTTGCGCCGTGCCGCGTTTGGTTTGAAGATGACTGGGGACGAGTCAGGTTCCATTGTACCACTTCAGAGCGGAAAAACGTGCTGCGCAGCTTTCTGCGCATCGTTAGCCCTACTTGCGGGCTCAGGCATGAATGCAAGCTGTAATCGTTGGAAAGAGCGGCGGACTGTAATAAAGTAGGCGAGAATGTCGTTCGGTTGATTTATTTATACTTGAGCAAGCATGAATTTTTTTTGGTATTTCACTGTTAAGAAAACAAGTCTCCCCCTTACGCATTTTAATAACTTGACGTTTCGTATGCTACGCAACATACATTTTCAAAAGTGGAATAAAGACCGTTACAATTTTTGAACACTATATATGAAATGTAAATAAGGGGTCTGGAAACGAGATTAAGAAACATCTGTTTCTTAACAGTAAAACAATAAAAGCCTAAGCTTATTATTAATAAAAGCTATATAAGAAATCCTTTATTGACCAAGCTTGTTCGGTCAAGATGGCTCGATATTGGCCTCGTTCTTTTTTTGCGAGGTTATGGACCTCGACTCCGTCTCGGTCAATAACTTGGCCAATATCCAGCCATCTTGACCGAAGAAGCTTGGTCAGTTACCCATATTTATCAACTGGTGTTTTCACATGACGTTCTGACAGCCATATCACATTTGGTGTCCCAAAACCATCAAGCGGTGCAACCTCGTTCCCAGGGACCTCTCTCTTCGTCCCTCGATGCGGCTGGTCACGTGTCTACGTATGTCAACCAGAGCCGCACAGAGGGTGGGTCCTCAACTTAAATTTTGTCAACACTGTCTAGGGAGGTGAATGTTGCACTGTTATACAGACGTTATTTATTTTGAAAGTGAAGCAAGTTGTTTGTCAGAGATCGTCCCTGACCAATGCTTCGTCGCTATGATCTGAACTTCTATGAGTATGAGATGCTAATTGAGAGGGAACTTTGCTTATTTTTCACTGCTTTTTTAAAAACCGTCAACAACCTGCTTCGGATTAGTTATCCTTCGTATCGCCGCGCCTTGATTACGATTTTACCCACAGACCTTCCTCCCAACCCTGAAAGACGAAATTATTTTAACCTGAGTTAAATCTGGAGAAAGGGATAGTGCGAGAAACAAAGGTAGAGGAGGAATAATCCACTTTCAAATTAACCAGGAAAAAAAAGAAGGGCGAGAAAATTGCTATTACACTCTTTTTTTTTACGAATATTGTTTTGCGGCTGAGGCTGAATATTTTTATTTCTCTGCCGACTTTAGGTTGAAAATATTATTGTGAATATTCTTAGATTGTAGCTTATGGCATTTCTCCTTTCGAATGCATGTGGTGTCAGGATGGTGTTAAAGTAATTTTAGAGCTAGACTGTAGGCATTTAAGCCTGATATGACGCACATAAAGTCTTGCAGAAATGTTATTTGCATGGAACATATGGCAAGACTCGATATATCTTCTAAATTATATTCTTATAAAAAAGAGTGTATAAATATTTCAGACTCACTCCCAAGACCGATCTCTAACCGAGCTCGGGCTTTTAATGTTTTCATTTCTTATTTTTATGTCTCAAAAGACATATTTTGCAAGTGCAAATTGTTTTGTCGCAGATGTCAATTTCCATTGACAGCATTCAATGGCTTCTTTTAACCATGCAAAGATTTCGTGAACCAACATAGCTAACTCAGTTCTTTAATAAACAAACTTTAAAAGCATGCGACGCCAACCAAACAGCTGAAAGTCTTTTCTTTTAAAATCTTAAAATCTTAAAGTCTAATATACTACCTAGTCAACACCAGTCAGGAAACTGAAGTTAGTGAGAATGGAAAGTTTGCCCGTATATATTTGAAAACAGCAAGATAAAATGCTGTGAGAACCGAATTGAAAAGAAAACATTTCAGCTGCTTAATCAACATTTTTGTAATCGGCGGCTGATGGCTTTACATTTTTAATAGTTCGCAGACTACAAAAATTGACAAACAGAAACTCAAAGAAGACATTTTTCGTAGTGGAGCTCATAAAAAAAAACCCCCTCTCAATTGGTATTCTTATGGTTGGAGGGGCTTTTGACACAATTTTGGTAAAGTGGTTTTGAGTACATCGAGTTCAAAAGCCCGTACAAAACTGCAACTACCATTCGCCCGCAGCGGGCGAATGGTAGTTAAAAGTTTTATCAGTTCAGAAGTGACTCTCAAGAACTTCGTGTGTATTCTAGTAATTATAAGCTTTGTTTTATTGGCGATATTCATAGTTTATCAGCTTCATAATTTAAGTTTATCTACATTCATTTAACCGCTAAACTCCTCAGTTGAGGACATCTCGTGGTCCTTCACAGAATGTGTTTTACAGGTCTGGATTTGTTCAATGGTATTAGTCATGATCAGTTCCGGCCGCCGATCAACTCCATTTCCCTTCCCTCGTCATCTGTCTGGCAGTTCAGGGAACGAGCAACTTCGCAAATTTTTCGTCGTGAAGGAATCAACTGGAAAAAGAAACGCCGCATGAGGATTTTTACACAAAATTAGAAATAAATGAAAACAATTTATTTGCTCCCAGAAACACTTTGTTAAATCAATATTTTTAAAGGAGTAGATAGTACTGTTAAGGAATAGCTTCCATAATTATTTTCAAAATAAGCGCGAACTGATGTAAGAGAAGTCAACCTGCTATGAAACTGCGAGTTTTGTTTTGCCTCTTACCTCTTCTCTTCCTCCATATCGTGGTAGTGGCGCAGCTGCCTCTACTCCTTGGTCAGTACAGATCAAGAACACTGAAACAATCAAACACAAGAGGACCAGCGATACTGAGATCTTACCCATACTGGTCAACAAAAACGGCGGAGCGAATTCGAGTGTGGAGTGTGCTGGAGAGATGCTTGAGGAATAAGTCTCGCAGAATAATTCATACTAAAACAATCGCTTTTCAAAGAGATCCACCTGCCGACAGCTTTATTGGCTAATTATCTGATAAGACAGTTCAGCTTTTTCTGTTAGGCTTTGATGAAACTTTAAATACAACGTTTTGCCACTAATGGATTTTTAATTACCAACTGGGCTCGAAAACATTTAAGGCGTTATACTAAAAAATACACCTGTGAACATATTAACAAGCTCATTACCTGTGTTATCTACCTTTATTGCTCTTGTTTTTATATCTTTCATTACTTTGCGTCATTTTATTCATAGCTTCCTATCTTTTTATGCGGTAATTTGTAAACAATTTTTTATTCTTCATATATTTGTCTGTTAGTTTTTCATCAATATCTTAAAGCGTATTGGATTCTTAATAAACTTAGAACGGACCTCGAGCTTAATAGGACATCAATACATTTTTTGTAATTGTGGTGAAAATATAAAGTTTGCATCAATACTTCAGTGATGTTGAGAAAGAAAATGCAGGAACGAAAACCAAAAATGGGACTACGGTATTTGTACTTTGATCGCAATCACTAAGAGTGACAATAAATCAACTGGGTGTACTATTTTGCTGGCTGTATTTTCTCTGGAAACACCTAATACCCTTCAGACGTCTACGCGAAGATCTATAAAACATCAATATATCAATTTAAAAACGGAAAAGAAGGCAAACGTCGGTATAGCATGATATGAAATAGAGCTAATTCATACTAATGATGGCCCAAAGGCCGCTCAAAATTGATTGTAACCAACCATCTTGACTTGAAGGAGCATATATTTTGGTATAATAAAAAGCCCGGGCCTATCAAGAAATTGTTAAAAAATTGTTGAATTGTCGTCAAAAATCGAAAGTTTTCCAATGATATCTATTCGTCCGTGACTTTGGGAACCGTTGGATATAATACAGCGACAGGGCTTGGTTCCTAGAGCATGATCAACACCGGCCACCTGGCCTTAGCGTTTAATGCGCCTATTCATTGGCTCGCCAGATAATTTGTTCATTTAGCCCGAACAGTCCTTAAACGTGTGAAAAGAAGAACGCAGGCAATATCCTTCCAGTAAAGACTTCCCAAATAATTCAATAACGCCTGCATTCATGATCAATTTTCGAGGCTAAAACTATGCGCTGCTTCTCTTCCAGGTCTGAAAAGATAGTTGGATAAGATAGATAATCTTTATTTATCCAGGGTAGAAAATTCGTTAGTTAAAAATACCTAATACCTAATGCCTAATACCTAATATGATGAAACAATTTAAATAAAAAGCTGCTTTCTTCGAATGCCGTGCCTTATTGTTCTCCTCTGAGTAGGCGTTTAAATTGTCTCCGGGACTCTGCTTCTCTTGAGTCACAAGGAAGACTGTTCCAAAGAATGGCGCCGCTATAACTAAAGCTATTTTTGTAATGGAACAGTGATTTTGTTCTCAGAGTCCCTTAAGTTATATGCTGTTTCTCGCCTTTCGAATTTAGAAAGGAGATTCTCGTGCTAGAACACACTCGAAGCTGTTAATTTAACAAAAGCTTCTAAGCTATCCGAACAGTCCGGCTATCGCATAAAAAGTCTGAACGAATTTCGTCCAAAAGGGCTGAAACGATAACACACGTTAGAGTTTGGTGTCATTTTATACCGTTCGATGAGAAAGTCGTGTAAGCAACGARAGACTACCCAAGGAAAATGTTTGTGTGCCACTTAATGAAGGTCGTCATAAAGACCTAACTGAATTCAAAAGCCACGTTATATCCTTTACAGACATAAAAACGTTGCCGCACAGAAAAGGATTTGCAGGTGTAAAGCTTTGACTCAAACATTGCCTCTACATTAGAGCATGGCAAAGGTTGCGTAGACGTCTTCTCAATTCGTATACAAGATCTCTGCCAACTTAGCCTGTGAACAGGCTCCTGATTGTGTTATAAGGGAAGGTAAAAACAGGCGGGCAGAGATAGCCGAGAGCGGTGTGGAGAGGAAAAAATCCCACCCTGCCAGGCTCGCTTCACTCGCTCTATTTTATTTTATTTTTTCTTCGCGCTCGTCAGGAACCTGTTCACTTATAGACGATGAATACTCTCCCAGATTATCCAGGAACCTCATGGATACAGACCGAATCTCCCGGTCTACCACTTTTATTTTCGGGGGAAAATTATTGGCATAATTAATATTCTGATCAATGGTGTCCACAGCTTTAGCTAAGTCGAGAAAAACAACGGATGTGACAAGGGCATTGTCGATGTTGAAGTACCATTGATTCGTAGCGTCAAGCAAAGCTGTGGCGGGTGAATGTAACGATCGAAAGCCTGATTGATATTTGTTTAGCAGGCAGAACAGGCGGATTAGCGGAGTAGAGAGCAAAACGCGACACACGAGCGCGAAGCGCGAGACCAAAAATGTTTTCGTTCGTGGTCGCGCTCCGCTCTTGTGTATCGTGTTTTGCTCTCTGCCCCGCTAATCCGCCTGTTCCGCAGGCTAATTTCTGTTTAGCAATTTGTTATCCGAAAGGTATAAACAGAGTTGGTTGTAAACAAGCCTTCCATAATTTTAGAAATAGGAGATTGGAAATTGGACGATAATTGTTAGGATTTGTTTTACTATTGCCCTTGTGGAGTGCAAAAACCTTCGCAATTTTCCAATCACTCACTTGATCACTAGGAACATAACCACTAGCGATAGAATTGTCAAAAAGTAAACAAAGGGGCTCGGCGATAACATCCGCTGCGATGGAATGCGATCGAGACGGGCAGATTTATTAGTGACCAAGTTTTTGAGGAGATTCGACACATCACTCGGATTAATACAGGTTAATTGAAAAACGGATGAAGCTGGGGTTATGAAAAATGCTTGGAAGTTTTGAGGCTAGAAGAGGCCCGATATTCGTGAAGTGGTAATTTAGGAAGTAAGCAATTTCGTCTTGATTGTCAATACAATGTCAGTTTCACCAGACATTAATTTCGTTGATAATAGAGTCCTTTTGTATTCTACCTGTAATTGAATTAAATTGTTTTCCAGAGAATTTCTGAGAAGCATTTTTTTTTAATTTTTAATCTCTCTGTTAAATTGGTTTCTAAGCGATTTGTACTCTGACCAAAGTTTGGAATTATTACGTTTTTGAGCGTTTAATTTAGCTCTGTCTCTCTTGAAAATAAGGCCGTGATGTCACGAGTGAGCCAAGGAGACGCCTTCTGACGAACTCGCTTTGTTTTTGGCGAAGCGTGTTGGTCAGCTACAGAAAGAAACATATTTTTCCAGTTATCTCGCAAGATAGCGTAACCAGACCCTTGGGTTTGGACGGTATCAGTTGAAGAATACCTCTTCACTATGATATCACCCACCTTGAATGAAAACATTTTATCGGCTGGATCTGAGATTTCGCCATCTTCCGTAAACTCGAGTAATGTCTTGACCAGACAAATCAAATCTTTAAAATTCCCATACCACTTGAATTGATCCTTCGTGTCCAAGTAGTTGAGTCGACTAGACGCAATTGATGATGAATTCTCGTTTGCAAGAGCCATTTTTAACGAATTGAAAACCGACTAAAATACAAAATAGCGGAGCGCGATAAAATACGAGTGAACTCTCTGAGAGTAGACAAGGGAAAAGCACCTGATCTCCAAAGATTACAGAAGAAATAAGTTACAACTGTCACTAGAGCACGTCCTCCGATATCCATTTTCTGCAACTTTAATTGCTCTAAATCTAACGAATATTGCATGTTACATGTGGCGACCGTCGCGGAAGTAATATGTATCAGGGATATAGCCGGCTTGGTTCCACATGAACTGATAACAACTGACTTAATGAGAAATGGTGCAGAACCGATTTAATGAGATGCGTTATCATTATTAGCTCAGTCAAGAGACTGGTCACTGGTCACTGGTCACGTACCCTGAAATTCGATGATAAAAATGTTTAACAAAACGAGCGGCTTGTAGTTGTACACCTTAGATCTGGATGTCATGAATTTCCTTTTAGGTATGCGGATAACATACACTGGTATTCGATAATAAATTGTATACCCAAGATCTGGATATCATGAATTTCACTTTGGGTATGTGAATCCCACACACACAGTCTGTAATAAATAACAAGAGTTTTTAACCCAGGCAGTGAGGCCTGGGTTTAAATTTTGGCTTTCTTTTTTTCCGCGTTCAGTCACAAATCGCC